ACCTGTATATCTGTAATTATATTTCATTAAAATATATTATAAATATATTATAAATATTTACTAATATTTTAACATTTCAAAACTTACATCGATATTTATTGTGTTCATAACATGCTAGGAAAAGACTCTGCATTATTTCAAATACAGATTTTCTAAAATCTTCATTTAAACTTGTAATCCATAGATTATCACAGAAACTAGCATACACATCATTTGTACAATCTAAATCAATTATTTCTTCATGTTTGTTCAAAAAAACTAAAGTTACATATGACTTTCCCAACAATCTCAAGTAACAATCTCTTTCGTAATAATTACTTTTATTATTTTTTGGACGTATTTCATTCAATACAAATTTACAAATATTAATTATCTTCGTAAAATCAGATAATTCAATTTGATTAAAATATATTAAGCTATTATATAGAAAATCAAATATTACATCTTGCAATTCTGGATTATATTTATGAAGAAATTTTATCGAATTACGAATTTCATTAAAACCATAATTTAAGAATAGTAGTGATACCTCATTATTTTTCATTTCATTGATGATTTCTATTATAATTGACCATATAGTAATTTGCACTTCGGATACTCTTAAATTATATAAATATATTTTAATTAATATAGATTGTTGAATTAATGAAGTTTCTTTTGCTATTGTTCGAATAAATTTAATGGCAGATACTTTATATAATTCTTGTGCTGGTCCTTTTTTTAATTTTTCACCTAATAAATGAGAAATGATCGTATTTAACATCGAAAATTGTTGTATCAAATATCTGCAATTATTGAAATGATTATAACACTTTATTAATTATTTCAAAATTTTTTAATGTCAATTTTCTTTACGTTTTATCTACTTTATATATTTCCTTGCAAACATCTATGTAAACTGCAGCTAATAAAAAACTTGATGATTTCAAATTTTTTTGTTCCAAATTTTCTAAAATCCAAATTGTTTGTTTTAAAAATTTATCCCAATTTATTTCAACTAATTCAAAAGATTCAAAATTAAAATGTTTCAATATCTCATATATCTATAACATATAAAAAATATTTATATTAAAAAATCATAAAAAATCATAAACATAGAAATAATTGTTTAAAATATTTGAATACATACTTGTAACATATAACCGTGCGTTGAATTCAAAGATAAATTATTAATTTCTGCAGATACTAAATACCCAATTATTTTCGTTAAAATAGATTGAACGGATTGGTCTGTTAATAAAGGTACAAGTGCTCGAGCTGCTAATTTACGTGTTTCAAATATAGCACTTTTTGCACATTGTATAATTAAATCTATAAGATCATTAACCTGAAATGCAAGTAAAATATACTATATAATGTACTAATTTCTAAAATAAATCATCGGTAAATAATTTATAATTACCCTCCATTGAATATTGTTAGATTCAGAGCTATGATTATAATATAATCGTGATAATAATAGTAAAATTGATTGCACGTTAGCTTTTATAAAAATATCATCCATTGCCACAAATTTTTGTAATTCATCTAAGATAAAGGATAATAAATTAGGAAATTTTTCAAAAAATACTTTATAATTCATCTTATTATCTGTTGTAAGATTAATATGATCTTTTGTTCTTTGAACGCCAAAAATTCTAATAATGAGTGCACTGAACAGTAGTGTCGCGGCGTTTCTTTCCTATAAGAATATAAGTTTTGATTTCATTTTTTAAATAATAAAGACGAATTTTTTAATATTTTGATAGTTTACCGCCCATGTTAATGCATCATAACTTCTAAATGCAGCTATTAAACCATCTTCAATGTAATTATGTACTATTTCTGCAAGATGAGAATATCGAAAAATTGCTCTTAAAATATTTAAAGCATGTGTTTTAATTTCTGTAATTTGAGCAATATTTTCATTCAGAGAACGATTGTTATTGTATTTCGATATTGCTAATAATTTTTCAGAGTACATAAATACTGAGTTAGAATACATTATCTGTTGAACTTTTTCCCATATATTTGCATTCTCCAGTTGTGTGAGTTCCAACAAAATTTTCATCACTGAATCAAATATTATAGTTCTTGTATCCTTGTGTTGACGAACTTCAGTAGCTAATAAAGCCTGTTAAATGAAAATGTAATTTTATCAATATAATAATAATATTATAAAAAATAAATTAAAAGTATTTAATGATAACCACATCTACCTGTATCATAAATGGTACACCTGCACTTCTTCTGGTTGCACATAATTTTGAATTTTCTTTAATTCCTGTAATAGCAATTAAAATTTGATGTAACCATAGTTTAGGCAATTGATTTAAATTCGTTTTATTTAAACGCCATAAACGAGAACATAATTGACTAAAACCAACATATGCTTGCTCAAATGCTCCTCTATGTTTTGTTTCAGTAAGCAATGAAACCAAATGTTCTCCTATTCTGTTAATCTGTTAAAAATTTGCTTTGGCTTATTTTCTTTTAAGAAAGTGAATGTTAATATAAATTGTGAAAGTTTACTTGCTCTTCATTTAATAGTCCTATAAAGGAATTATCTTCACATATAGGTGCATTAGTGGAAAGCAAACCAAACAATAAGCTAACTTCTTTTATAGTTCGCCAAGAACAAAGTAACACCATTTGTGATGTTACTAGTTGCTTATTAGAACAACATAATTCATTATTAACTTGTAAATTTAAATCCATTGGCAAATGCCCCTCAGGTGAAGAATTATTTACTATTAAAGAAACTGCATGACTAAATTCAAAACATATAGATATCAATTCTGCTATAGTATTCTGCCACAAATGTTCATTACTAATAACTTCCAAATTACATTCATATGCCAACAAATTCCTGATGCAAAAAAGATATCCATATAAAGAATATTTACTAATAGTTTTTACTATATTTTGCTTTGCTAAAGTCAAAGAATCCTGCAAAGAAATTATATATCTTTATCTTCATATAGTATATGTATCATATATAAAAATTCAAATACCTTTAATTTTTTCAGTAAAATAAATATCAATTGTAATGTTATTGCTTCCGTTATCTCTTTAGATTGCATTAATATATTAAAATGAATTTCAAGCACATTTTGAATAACAGGAGACAACATAGTAACTTTTAGCATATACGTAGCTGTAATACTATCAATAGGTCTGATGCTATTACCTAATTCAATAGCAACCATTATAATATCAAGAACATGATTTTCATTATTTAATTGCAATAAACTTGGGTCCATTGACTTTATTAAATTAAAAGCCATTTCTTTATTTTTTTCATATGTATCTAATAACATTAGATTGAATATTGTCTCTATTTGTTCACTTTTCCAAGTAATTTGTTTAAATTCATTATCTAATAGATCTCTCATTAAAAGTAATATTTGTAGAGAATATTTTCTTCTATTATATGTAGCATCAAGGCTACATATACATATTTTCCGCATAGATTGAAATGTATTGCAATATAAATTTATTTCACTTTCTAAACTATTAGACATTTTATAAGATTCATCTAACACTTGTTGTTTTGTATCCAATGATTTACAATTTTTTATATAATAATTTCTCATTTTTTCTTCTTGCATATACTGTCTTCTCATAACAACTAAGCTGTCTTTTATACGCTGTAAAACCTATAAAAAAAATATATAAAATTCGTAGAAATACTAAATTTCCATTATGATGATTTTACCTTTTTTATCAAAGGTACAAATTCTATATTTTCCTTAAAATTTACATGCAGAAATAAAATAATTATATCAAGTTCTTTAGATGTAAATTTTAAAGTACTTTTTTTTGATTCTACTATAAGAGCAAGTGTATTTAATTTTATCTGAAATAAAAATTGATATTAAATTAATATATTAAAGTATGAAATTTGAAATCATTAATTTTTTATCATTTCTATTAATACTTCTTCATCCTGATGATAAATATAATGTTCCAAACAATCATATGTGATAGAATCTCTCCAATATTCATCGTTTGAAAGGAGAAGTTTCTCTTTAGTATCTAATTCACCATTACGTTTTAATATTAGCAATTTTTTCAATTGTTCTTTTATTTCCTCTGATGAAAACATATCGTTTAACCTGTGTTATATTTTAACAGAACACATGTATTATATTCTAACAGCGCCATCTCTTGAATGCTAAAAAGTTTCTTTAAAAGCAGGATAAAAGAATTAGAAATCCTCATTTATATCATGAACGAAATATTTGTTTTGTTAAAGAATTGACTATATCCCCTTTTTCCTTCTAATTTGTAATTCGATAATTGAAATTACTTGGGATATTATAGTGTTTAAACATATCGTTTTTTCCTTGAGGTATGTGATTTTTTGTATTTTATGTGTATTTTTTTTCATAATTATCTACAATATTTTTATATAAATATTTAAATAATGTGTATTTTTTATTTTAATTTTTTAGCGGTTAAATTATGCTTTTTTTTATTCATTTATTCAATTAGAAATGCATATAGTTTATGTTATATTTTTCTAAAATAAAATTTGTTCTTAATTATTGTTTTATTTTTAATTTAATCAATTAATTCTATACATTTTAAATATTTATTTAAAAATTTTATTTTCTTCTGTATAGGTTATTAATTGATTATTAGTCTCTTTGAAGTTTCAATATGGACGCCATAAAGAAGCGGTAAAGTGATTTCATTTTTTGATCACGTGTAATTGAAACAAAGTTCATTGTATAGAATTTTAATTTTCGCGCGAATTTAAAATGAAAAATCGCGCAGCTTTAAAAAACCAATCAGAAAGCCGCTAAGATCAAGCCAGACGAATTACTGCGCATCATGGTGCGCATGGCGTCAGTCTCAAGTTGAAAATTGTGATGACAGATCGTATTTCACCGGTTAAGATACGTAATTGTGTAAAAATATTTATTAATAGGATATTATAATACAGTTATTGATTTTAATTATTGATTATTAAATCTTGTGTAATTAAATATATATTTGTTTAATCATTACTATACTAAAATTGTATCTGTGTGCCAGATTATCGTTTGATTGCAATTTCGAAGACAGAATAAGTTCGAAAGTGAATAATTTTTGTGCATATCGTGACAATTAGGAGATAATCCGACGATTTTTATGCTAAAAATATGGTAAGAATTTATTTATTTTAAGAGAAACATAATTATTATAAATTTATTTTATCTCTTTATTCTCTCTTATTCACATAGTATAGAAGTAATTAGATAGAAGTATAGATTATTGTATTGTATCAATTCACACATATATATATCACACATATTCTCGTATATTTATTTCCGAAAGGCGTATGTTATTATCGTATGTTACTATCGTATATTATTATCGTATGTTATTATTTCTGTGATTGTTTTGATTTTAAGTTTGAAGGCCGAGGTTGAACAAATTTTGTATACAGTCTTTCTAGGAAATTGACGGTCACACGTTCCAAATTGTCGAATCGCTGAATGTATCCCCTCTCTAATTTATAATTCGAAATCAAAACACGGCGTATCATTTGATTATTGAAATTCGTAATGGCTAGACGCTTTAAGTATGTGATCTATCTATTCGGTAATATTTATTTAAAAGTTATTCTTTTATTTTTTTATACTACTATTTTATCATTCAATTATTTATTGATTATTATTATTATTGATAATTCTTCGAAGAATAATTTATTTTTTTTTTATTTTGATTATTAATTTTTCTATTCGTATTTTATTACTAGTTCGTATTAGCTTTTAAAATAGGATTTGAATTAAATTGTTTTAATACGATTAATTGAATTTTATATATTTGTACATTTATTTCGAAGATTTCTCTTTTGCACAAGTAAAATAATTGTTAAGATTATTTTAGGCGGAGAAAAAAGATTTTCAATATAAATACCATAATGTGTAAATTTTAAGTAAAGAGAAATAGAATTTAAATTTCAATCTTTTGTATTAGAATTTTAATTTTTATTATTATTAAAATTTATTAGAAATTGAATTATTTTTTTATTAAAATTTTTAAAATTGAATATACTTTCATCTTTTATTATTTCAAGATTTTAATGAATGCTTTTTGAATTTTTAAGAAAGATAATTATATGTAATATTTTATATTTTATTACATTTTGTTTATAGGAGCTGAAAATTCTTTGTGAAAATTTGTCTTGAACTTTAGTATTAAAAAATATTTGTGACCATACACAATGCGATCGGTAGTCACTGTTTATTTCATATTAGTAATATATATATTATATTTCATATACTATATTACTATATTTCATATTAGTATTTCATATTACTATATTTCATATTAGTAATATATAATATATTAGTAATATATTTTTTTTATTTTTTAAAACACAAAATAAATTTATTAAATTAACATTATGGTATTTATATTGAAAATAAATTTAATGATAATAATCATTTACATACAATTTAGTGAAATTAGAATCAGTGTTTGTTCACCAATTATACAATATGAACGGGTTGATAGTTTTTATTTTTATTTTTTTTTATAGATATAGAGTAGAATCAATGATTCAAGAGAATAAGGCAATTATTTATCACGCGAAGAAGTTATTATTTTTTCTTTTATGTAAATTTATATTTTTATATTGAAAAATTAGAACATTAGAGAATTTCAATTTTTTAATTCCTTTTTTATATTTGAAAATTACAATTTTTATTATTATTATATCTTATCAAAATTTCAATTCTTATTATTACATTTATAAGTTGTAATATTTTATTTGTTATAGATATTTCCTAGTTTTTATGATAACTTCCTATGGGCCATCACAATATTGATGGCAATGCAGATTCTTCGCATCTAATGGTGAGTCGCATGCATTTTGATTCCTCCAATCACTCAATCATGTCGTAGAATAAAAGATATTAAAAAAAAAATTCAAATCGACACGGGTGATTGGTTGTATACGTAGAATTTTGTACGAGCATAGTGACCACGATATTTATATATCGTGAATAGTACAATTTCCTTTTTTTTGTGTTTTATTTATTAGTTCAGGCTAGGTCTTCTTGTACATCACGTTTTTAAATATTAGTAATTTTCAAGTTATGAATATTTATACGTAAATTACAAATATTTGAATAAATAATAAATAATATAATAATAAATCATTTTTAATTTCATCTTCTTTTTCATATTAATATTTAAAATTTAATTGTTTTTGATTTTCAAGATAGTAAAGATAATAGTTTTATTCCTCTTGTTCGAAAATATATTAAATATTATGTTCAAGAAGACATTTCGCGACAGGTAGATTTTGAAATCAAAGTTACAAATTTTGAATATTTATTTCGCATTTTCGAAAATATGCTTTGATTAATGAATCGCCTGAGGATTATTATAATATTGAACTTAAAATCAATTATTTTGTATTTTAAAATCAATCATTATCGAATTGTATTTTAATTATTTTTTAAATAAACATATTTCCTTTTGATCAATAATTTTGTTGTAGAATATTAAGATTTCAACAATTTTTTAAATTAATAAAAAGTAAAGTATAAAATAGAGTCATTGAAATTTAAAAAATTATTGAGATTATACAAAATCAAATTTATTAGTCCGTTAGATACAAAATATTTAAATATTAATACTATTTAAATCTATCTTTTTAGCATAGGATTTTCAGATTTAATCCCTTCCGTGTTTATTGCCAAGAATCCATTCACGTGCCCAGGTGCTACTTGAATGGAAGAGAGGCAATAGGCACGATGATATTAGTTCATAAATTAATAAAAATTTTTGAGCGATTGACGATGAGTTAGTGTATCGTGCACGACATATTTTCCACATTGTGTGTGTATGTGTGGTTAGACTGTGGAATTGCGTCGTTTTAACAATTTATCAATTCAATTACAATTTATGATAACAATATTACATTCGTTGTATCGTATATAATTAAAAAATGATAGAATTGTCTTATTCTCAAATTTTAATTGTAAAAATATTTAATTTATTTCTATTCCAATAATTGTTCCACGATTTGTTTGGAAAGCGTGTATTTTTTTCGATTATAAAAATATTCATTAAAACCAATGAAATTTTATTGCCTTTCACGCAATGGTCGCTAATCTTCGTCAATCGATTTCAGAAAAATGGTACGTAAAATTAGAGTGTGAATGTAGCGTGTCAAGCTCGGGCGTCGGAGGCGTCCCGGGACGCTTTCCCTAGTGTAGGCTTTTTTGCACCCGAGTGTTATGCGTGAGAACCGTTGAATGAATGTGTTGGTGTGCCTGTTTCTCTATTTTTTTAAATATAGAGCTAGGTAGGATAGGTAGTATACTTCTGGTGTGTATGTTAATTATAAGTAGGTAGGGCCGGGCAGATTGTCACAGTCTCCGATCGGGTAGGCGCGTTTTC